GCACAGTTGTGAATTTATCCGAAATGCTCTCCCCTCCATCTGTGCATACGTAGAACCCCAAACACATGAAAGGCTGTGCGTGCTTATTTTCATGTTTAATTTATTCTTCTGCTTCAAATCAATCATCTGATCAGTGCACCCTCTCATTATTATTGCAGAGGGACTGCGATCACCACCGCCTGGCTTGGAGCTCGGGACGCTCCGTCGTCATTCAGGTGTCGCTACGGTACCGTTCCCAGCCTCAGGCAGCGTCCCGTTGGGCGCTTGTGCTGTCTGGCACAGCGAACCGACTGCTCCAGGGCCGCAGGGACACACTTTCATCTCTTATTCATACATTTCCTCTCCAATACGCAACATACCATCAGACGAGCTAACAACAAGCTGAGCCAGCTGCCCCCCCACCAACATTACCGTCCCTCACTCGCAATTAAAAACATTTTCTACTGGCCAAACCCCACCACCGGCCTACTTTTAACATCCAGCTTAGCACTGATTGTAAATAAAACTATTGGATGTTTTTTTTCAGGAATTTTAACCGTAGTCATCTTCTATCTTTGAAATGCTGCGTGCAGAGATGATCAGATTAAATAACGATAGCAAAGAAAAAAAAGAGTTGCTCTGCTTTTTGCTAATGACATTTATGCAACAACCTCTTATTCTGCAAGGTTCCTTTCTCCCAGTGACACAGGGGCTGGGAGGTTCACTGTATCCTGGATTTTCCCCATTCCGAAGGCACTCTGGAGCTACACACATCTCTCATCAGTTTAACCTGTTTTTGAACAGATCTTTCAGAGATCCATCTCCCCCTGCCAGAAGCTGCTGCATCCTGCAGTCCAGTTAACCAACAGTGAGGGCCTGTCCACAGCCCTGCATTCACACAAACAGACCTCTCCACACAGCTCCTGACAAAGGGGTAAAAAAAGATACCACTTCACCGCTTTGGAAAAATCTAAAATAGACCCACCTACTTGTACTTGTATGTATTAAAGCTGGAGTGTAAAGAGGCAGTGATTTTCTGCAATCTGAGACAAGGCTGACAAGTGGGGACATTCATTAGGAACGTAGAGAATGTCACAAAAACATTCATCACCACCACCCCCTTCAAAAGATGGATATCATGTCCACCAGACACTGCAACACAACCAGCTATGAGCTTTGTGTCTTGCACCAAGTTCTTTTGACAGGAACTGAAAGAAAAGATCATTTTATCGGTCAGGCAC